GCTGTCGCGGTACTCTTATTTACCTAAGCCTATACCTTAACCTTCGACCTTGTTATTTAGCAACGCTTTTGCATGTGAAGCTTGACATCTACAACTTAAGACACTCTCACTGTCTACAAAAAAAGTTATTATACGCTCCAAGAGCGAGCATTATGGCTGTCGAATCTGATACAATAGAGACGCTGCCCGAGGAGACACCAATACGAGTCAATAGAGACGTTGGCCGGGGCCTCTCGTCGGCATAAAGCTTTATCCAAGGAGTCCTTCCATGGGATAGCTTTCCTAAGAGGATAAGATGGCACTTTTACAAACTACAACAGCAAGACTCTGAAGTACTTGCTTCAAATGCATTTCCCAAGCTCTCCGGTGGAACCGGCTATGTCTCCGCAAAACAAATGCTCTCCAGAGTGGGAAGTCAAGGCAGATTTTACGTATCTTTGATAGAGGCAAGTGACGATGGAAGGTAGAGCCTTTCCAGCCTTACAAAGCTACACGTGGTGATGATATTTTTGCAATTGAGTATATCAAAGTATCCGAGTTATTCTGGTACTTCTGGTGTTAGGGTTCTTGGGTTAGAGTTCAGCCAAGAGAGGTCACTGTTGAGTCCGTAGCACCACCCTGCAAGAAGCTGAGGTTGCGTCTGGTCTCTCTCGGCAGTTTCTTCTCCAATGTCGAGGGGCGACAGTCGACTACCTAGGACGATGTTGTCCTGACTATATCGCCGTGTTAGTTGTCGAGCACAACTCTGTATTTTTCTGCGCCGAATGTATGCTCTACCTACGGCTCGATGTCGGTTCTACAGAGCGTTGAGCTCTTTTTCCGCCCAATGAAGCAGACACGACTTTGAGATTGCAGTCTTTAGCTGTACGTAGAGCTGCATTCTGGTAGGTTTGTATTTTTCTCCACTGCGTATTGCGCTTTCCTGCCGATCACATTGGCGCTCGGAGATAGCCACCTACCTTGCGATTGCTTTATATGGAGTGAGCAGGAACTCTTTGTCGGCTCCCCCCAAGTGCTGCCGGCTATAGGCTTGAGGACTTTGTTCCTGGTTCGCAATTTGTAACCAGTGGCTGAGACGTGCGCTGATAACTAGAAAACACTGTCAAACGTGACTCAGAGGTTTTAAGGACAGATGACCGTCGGTATCTTGGGGTCATCGACGTTCAGTTCACTGCCAGGAGCCTCAACATTTCTGGAAACATGTTCTTAACTTTCCTAAACCCTACAGGACTGTAAGTCTAACTTCCTTAGAGCCATACCTAAATAAGCGCGTCAAGCGTTAAGCCTGGCGGCCTCTCTTCTTCTAGCGTATATAAATTTAATGCGTCAGAGAGAGATAAAGATACAAGCGAAACGCTCAACGCGCTAATTTAGGTACGGCTGTTAGGCCTACACATTAGGTGCAAAGAGCTTATCCGCTCCCTTGCACCATACTAAAATATCCTTTCACAAAGAGAAATTAACTGATTCGGCCTTACAATAGCTGGTTAGTAAGATCGAAAGCGCTTTCAATACCAAGGAGATTGCTTTGTGTTCTCTCTTTGACATCGAGGGGGCTTTCAATAATACTGCCTATCTTTCTAGTATATCGAGGCCAGTGGACTATTGGTGCCATGGTTTGCACAATACTCCCTTGGAGTCAGGTGACCACCTAGTAAGACTACATAAGTGTGGCTACAATGCTTCTAGATACGCAGATGATCTGCCAATTATGCTTTCGCGAAAATTCAGTATTACTGTATCGAGACATTGGGAGTACAGCTCTTAGTGGACTTTCAAATTGGTGTGCCAATAAGACTCAGCATAAATCCGAAAAAGGTATTATCGTACCATTTACAATAAGGTATAAACCAAAACTTGGTTCGGTCATGCCTGAATAAGCGGGAAACACTGTGCGCAAGGAATGGTGGTTTTCATTGACTGACAAAAAAGCGAAAAGTCACCACAATATGGGCACGATGCGACGAAATCGCTCGTCCTGCAAAGCGCAGTAACAAGAAAATTTATGAACCGATAAGCTTATTGCTTGTTTCTTTGGCCTTTTTGTTTCAGTTTTGTCCGAATAAGTGAAAGAAGGTATTGTCCGATATGACGTAGATAGCTAGCAAGCCGACCACAAAGCCTTTTAATCCTACTGAGAACTCTTTACACAGCGTAGAGAAATGATACTGAAGTTATACCGCCACAACGCAGAAGAGAGAAAGCGGGAGACTTATCCTGAGAAGGCTTTAACTCGACAGGCATAGGGAGTGGGATTTCGGCTATTGAACTTGGATAAATAGAAAAGCAAGCAGCGCCGGTAGTCGCTGCGAAAAAATTTGTTACCGAAGGTTTCGGCAAGATATGGGTAAAAATGAATGACTTTTGGGAGAAGCTCGTGTTATTTCATTAGGTGGAGAGGATTCGATTTTTTGTCGAGAAGTTACTGCTATTGGAAAAAAGTGCCATCAGCAAAAGAGGACCGATGTTGAGTGCAAATCTTTAACCTCTCGAACTGTCGAATTCTTTATGAGAGAGCTTTCTCTACAAATCCTAGTGTTGCTCCTGACGTACTTTTTCACCTACTGTTACTTGGATTTGGTATCTGAGGAAGGCTACACAGCATAAAGCTGACTTTTCAATGCCACAGGATGATAAAACACTATTATCTGCAACCTTGGCTACATCGTGATTTCAAAACTCATTACAAGACCTCGCTCAGTCATAATGCCCAGCTGAAACCCAACAGCGAAATGTTTGATTTTTTTTTTTTATATATGGAAGAAGATATGTAAATGGCACAACGACATTAAAATTAGGATGGTTGATGTTTTTGTATCGGCTACTTAGCTCTGCCTAGATCGGCTTATCTCCCAATCGTTGTCGTCAAGCTTAACTAACTGGAGACCCAGAAAGTGTGCTACTCCAACAGGGTTGATCCATAAGGAGAGAGGCGTTTGAGTGGAGTTTAGGAGGTATGCGAAGAGGTGCTATGGTGGTGCGAGTCTTCCGAGACAGACGAAGCCTCGTCGTGTAAGTGATGCTGTGCCACAGGTGCTGCCGGCTAGTGACTTGAGGACTTTGTTGCGGATCTGAACTCTATTGGCAATTGCGGTTGTATGCGCCGAGAAGGAGAGCAGACTATCGAAGGTAACCCCCCAGTATTTTATAGTTATACACCGTCGGAATTGGTAAGCTATAGACGCCAATTCCCAGCTGTAGTCTGGATTTCGTGAGGAAGAGGGTTAGACTCCTCGCAGTGAAGAAACGAGAAAGTTCGGAGAGGTAACCGTTTACATTCGAGCGCAAGTTATCAATTCCATTCCCGGACGCCATTATGCTGGCTGAGGGAGCTTCGAAATGTAGTAATTAAACAGAAACGAGGAAGGACACCACCCTCTGGGACTCCTTGTTTTAGATAACTCTCTGACCACCATTTGAGTCCCTATTGAAGAGAGGAAGCCTCAATGTCTTCTAATCGCGTGGAGTGGCTGACGGTGTCAAACATCTTCGACACCGCTCCTAGAACTATTATCTCACCGGGGTGGTTTCGGTTTAGGCCCCGAGTTATATCAGTGTTTAAGGGCTTTAAGAGCTGTTGTTGTGCTGTGCACTTTACGAAACCCATGCCGATGCCTCGCTGGGTTCAGGTCGTTCGTATAGTGCGGGAGTAGAAAGGCCTGAAGTGTCTTCGCTGCCGCGGAAGGGTGTTATCGGTCAATAAGACTCTCCTTTGTCAGCCGGTTTAAGCAGTGAGATCACTCTCCCCGTTTTCCAGACGTCCGAAACGATGAGAGCGGCCATGAACAGGTTGAGGACCTTGGTGAAGTAATCTGCTCTCGCAGGACCAAATCTTTTCAGCTTTCGCATTCCCGATGGCTTCCCTAAACTAGCCACGGGTAAATTAGAGGCGCACTGGGTTTTGGCAGTTTGTACAGCCTTCTGGTCAGTCGACGTTTGGCTTTGTCCAGCGAAGAAGGCCGCGTGAACTGACGGCTAAAATAGATCGCGAATCGCTCCTGGTTGGACGAAGCGCGGTAACGAAAAAGATTTCCACTCTATCGTCGCGCTTCATCAGGTTGGACAATGACCTCGCGGTTTACCAGAGCTTATGTACACCAGAGGTGAAGTTAAGTCTTCAGATGCTCCTCCCACTTCTTCCGCTTATGGAGGTTCACTAGTTGCCGCATTTCCGCGGTTATCACGCTCATCGACTAGGACAGCATTTCAGCTGCAAAGTTCGGACTGCTATCCGAGATACATCCAGCTGGGATGTAGCGGGCTGCAAAAGTAGTGATAACCTTGCGGAACTTACATGCATCTACAATCCACCCTTATGAGTTTGTACTGCTCAAACGAATCCCACTGAAGGTCAGCTGAATAGATATCTTGCTATTTTCCGGTATTCCACAGTGGGTCTGCACTGGCTGTCGTCAGTGTCTTCTTGTGGTCAGAAGAGCTGGTATCATTTCCCCTTTACTCCTGTGTTAGCTGTTGTCTAGAAGTCACGTTGCTATCAATATGAGGTCTGCCGTTATTGAGCAGATAATACCATAAATTACCGGTGGGATCGCCGTCTGCGCTTTTTTCGTCGGTCAACATCCCATCCGTAATCGGCACACTCGTACATTGCAATCCAGTTTATTTTGACGGTTTAAGCTGCTGACCTGCCCGCCATCTCTACGGTTATATATGTATGACTCATATGGAAGCGAAATATGAACATCTGAGATCTTCGACAATCAAGAATCTGAACTGCGGACAACAACTACAAATCTTGTTCTCTGTACTGAGAAGTGTCGTGTCTTGCACGGGTAACGATAGATGGAAAACTTTAATATAAGCCAATTTAATTTTAATTTACCATTCGCATTTTGAGTTAGTTGCAATAAGTACCCAAGTAATAACCACTAGACTAAGCCTAGGATGCACACTTTATGAAGTAGACAGCATATTAAAATTGTTACAACTACATCTCGATAAACAAAAGTACGATTCACAGAAAATTCAAGCTCACTTACCGTTTAATGACCAAATGTGTGACGGCAGTGACGTTGCTGTATAGACGCGCCCAATGCCGCTTGCGCCACTAGATGAGGATGCCGCCAATGCAATGCTTTCGACGAAATTTGTGCCCGCTCCTGAAGCGTCTTGCAGATCATCAAAATTCAACGTATGCGAATGTGGTCCGCTCCCTATGCCACGACCGCCGGTATTAATCCCACCACCGCTTCCTCCGTTCAGTATGAGCGAGTTGTCGTGAAATGAACTGCTGCTGACGGGTACACTCATACGAATACTACCACCAGCCATACCATCACCGCCAAGGGGATAATGCTGATGTTGTAGATAGTTGGGACCAGCTGAAGAGTGCGCTTGTGGGGACAAACCAAATGCATTGCTACTAGGCGCCGTGACTACTGCCGGATGTGTGTGTGGTCCACTACCTACAGCACAAGAGGAATGTGTTGTGCCATGTTGTTGATTGTGAATGTCAGGCACAGAACTCAAACTGCGTGCCCTTTGTCTGTCGATGCTGGAGCTTTGGACGTGATGTTGCACCTGCAAGCTGGGCAATGTACGCAACAAGTTGAAGCCTTGACCGCCATCGGCACCAGTCGGAGCATGACCCAATCCACTATTAGATGCGACTTGTGCCGCATCGGTTCCAGTTGAACTGCTGGAAAAGGTACGCGAACGTGGGCTTTGGCCGCTGGCTGTCGGAGTGCTTGCCTTTGCGCCCATTCGTTGGGATTCAGTTTTATCGTTATATGTTTGTATGAACGTACGTTCGATGCGATGCGTTTTGAGGATGAGTGTGTAGGTTAAGTGCTTGTAGTTTCAAACTTTGAAGGATTTTTTTAACGCTTTAAATGCGTCTTACAAATATCAGTTGTCTCCATCTAAATTTTTTTTTGCAGAATACAAGAGCAAGCGTTTGTTAGGCAATCCCTAAAACAGCTCTTTGTTATGTTTCCTTCAGTGTATGCGTTGTGACAGCTGCTTGCTCGTGAGGATGATGAGCTGCGTAGGAGTGTGGGCAAAGAATTGGTAACCGGTGGTTGTGGCAGCTTACAAAGTTTCCAACGGAGTGCACATTGGTATCAGACAAAGGAATGCGATTAACCGTTGTTTATGCTATTACTTTTGCTGCACTGATGTGGGTCTGTGGGCAGCGTTCGTGTCGTTGCCCATTCCTCGTACAGCCAAAGTCAATCTGAAATTTTTTCACCTTACGTGTCGTTGATCGCCTTTGCGTGCAGCAGCAACAACAAAAATAGCAAACAGTGGCGATTGCCTCCGATATGGAATCAGATTTCTGTTTTTATCGGCAACTATACAAGTACTGTCCAATCTAAGACGCTTCAAAGAGGAGAGCTTTTTCGTCAACGAATTGCCAATTGAATAATTCTTATGAGCTATAACTGACACCGCTGATATTTCTTCTGCCAGTCACCTCCGATGCCGCTGTTGCTGCTGCTCTACACAGCTAGTTATATCGCTATTTTGCTATCGTCTGTTTTTATGCGCTTTGTTGATGAAAAACACAATTTTTTCGTTTTCCTGGCCTTACCTCACT